CAATTTTCTTGTCAAATTTCCGTTGTTGATTTGTTGTTTGGCGTATCTAGAGCTGGGAAATTACACTTGATGGTCGTACAAGTAGAACATCAATTCTTATTGTGCCTGACAATTCCTCCTTGTGCCTCCACATAGTGTGTTTTTTCCAACTGACACTGATTTTAGCAGTGATCAATGGTAAACGACCACCACTCTGTAGCAGCCGTTTAGGATGCCAGGATTTAACTCAATCCTACTTAGGCAAGACTAACTTAATGTAGAGCCATAGCGAGGCTGTAAATTAAAGCTTTAAAATGTAATGGAATTAAAAGAGAAGACTGCGAATTTAAAATCAAGTGCCTATTTGCTTTCTATTTTGCTTCTTTTATGGAGTATTACACTAGATTTCGGGTAAACAAGTAATTCCCGTGTAGTTTATTATACACGAATCTCATTGTATAAAAATCAGAAATCGTGGATAATAGATACCGTTAAAGGTAAACGGAAAACTTCTACAGTTTTTATGTGTACTAAATGTAAAAAAATACCTTCCCATATGAGATTGTAGGGAATTAACTTTACTTTCTTGTATTCCTCTTTTCATTTTCTATTACACGTCCAATTCTATATTTTAGGTTAAGGATATAATTTATAAATAGGACTAAACTAAATTTATTCTGTTTTATTTCAATACGCTAAACATAGATTTTTTGTTTTATATCAAGTACTTATTTAAATGTAACTGAATAAATAGATATAAATCGTTAACACAATGTCATCCGTTCATATTTTAGACATTTCAACAGTTATTAGACAAGTGGATGGTATGAAGTTTAAGCAATACACTTTATTGACAAGTGACGTAAGAACTAGTTATAATATAAATACTCACTCTGTTGATATAATCACTGAATATTGTCAAACTAATATTCCAAAGCGTAAATATATCATTGTAACGTTGAAACCAACCCTCCTATATATATGTACTATTATAATCTACAAATCTCATTGTTTTATATGGAAAAAAAACATTTACTGTCAAACTAACGTCCACTACTCCTATCCTGAAATGTAATGTTAATGTAAAAGCAGACCCTCTTCTATTCATACTATTTTAATCTGCAAGTTTCAAAGTATTTAATGGAAAACACGTTATAGATTAAATGTTACACACGAAAGCTATTGCAGAAATAAGATTGATAAAGAAATCTTTAAATGGAATGTGCGTCGAAGAAGTCGACGTAATTATATTTTATTTGCGCCGAAAGCAGAGAATCTGTGATGAAGAATGTTATTGACGCATTCTTTCCTTTGAGCTTGGCAAAACAGTTTTAATTATTTATTTGCGTTTAATTGTTATGGATTATTGGTGTGTAAGAAGATTGAGAGAGGATCATTTATTTATATATATGTTAATGGTATTCTCTGCAAAATCACTTGCTGTGTCTGTTCAGCAGTAGTCACAGATTTTATTTTCAAATATGTAGTACAACCCGCCGATCAAACCAATATTACAACAGTGGGGACTAAATATTTCAGGATCAAGCTGCTTGGCGACAAGGTAACTAATACGTCATTAGGTTCCTTTGAACTTTGATAATGACGCCAGTCAGATGTATCGACGAAATGTCCCAATAACTGCTGACAAACCCATTACCGATTGTGTATGGTAACGTCGGAGGCAAATTGATGCACGCAGATTTACCAGATACGGTGATGCACAAGAGGTGCCAAACAATATAATATGTTTTCGCCCTCTTTCTTATCTTGCAATACTAAAATAGATAGAATCATTTCACTTCGTTCTTGAAACATTTTCAAACTTTTAAAAACACTGGGAAAGTTGTGCTACTTCTGAGAAGGATTTTTGTTAGCTTCAGACTGCTTATTAGGTATAGGAATTAGGTTGAATGATACAGTGTAGCTTCATTGGTTCTGTTTTAAAGAAATTGCTTCGTCTGCTTATTGAGGCGAGCTTTATATTTGCTCTCCGATTGAAGGTGTAAAACAAACTACATTGGAGGGAGCTGATTTCCATGAAATAACAAAACAAATATACCTGGTAAGGATCTAAATTATTACGTATCTATTTTACTAATATATTAGACCTATTTCTAAAATGTATATGTCGGTAAATCCGACATCAGTTATTCTTTTATCAAATTCCATTGTCAGACAGATTTAATGAATCATTCAATGCATACAATGAACAAATAAAACGAAATTATGTCATCTCAAATTAAAATTCCCCATACAAGCATGTAATTCTGTATAATGACATGAACTGTTACAACGCCAAAACATTTCAGTGGTTAATGAGTATTTGGGGGGGGGGGGGGGGACTATATCAAAATGCCCTGTTTGTGCTGATGTTGATGCCTGCCCGTTAATCTTTTCGTGTCAATTGTCCTTTTGTTTTCTGTCTGGGACATCATTTCCACAGAACGTTTGGACATTTGCTATATTTTCTGTTCATCAACCAAATCGTTTTGACATAACTCAAGAAAGGTGAAATCACTTTAGAATTGTGTATACATTTTTATTTTAAGAGGCAGTCGTACATTTTCAGCCAAATTTTTCAAACATGTTCTGTAATTTCAATTTCTCAATAGTTGACAATTCTTTTACACATAAAAAACTAAAGCTTATTAGATATTTAGCATCGGTCATTACAGATAGTAGCCTATTTGCAATATTGTTAAATCACGAGGGTGCAGTCTAATCCAAAAATATTGTTAACATTGAGAGAAATCATGGCTACAAATTGTATTACCAAAATGAACGTTTAAATCAATTTCCATGCGTAGTACTAATCTAGGATCTGCTTGCTTCGTTTCGTAGAGGTTTTATGTTGTCCAAATTATGTGTAATTTCGTTCGTCTTCCATGTTATAAAGCCTGCTCGCAATCTTAGCCTGCGTCCGATCGATGGGGCCAAACCACATGAATACAGTTGTTTACTCAACTGAATAAAGTAGAGGCATCTTTATTGGTATTTTCCGGTTGGAAAAGACTTTTTCAGGCAGAAAATATCATTACCAGAAACCTAAATGAGCAAGTTTCCCCAAGAAAATTGATCTCGTGATTCCTTAGAAATGGACACTAGTTTTTGTTCTGTTCTATAACAAGCTTAACTGGGATACCGGGGACTTGTCAGCTTATAAATAGGAACAAGTTACTAAAGGTTAACAAACATCGTTTAGGCTTTGGTGTTTAACTTTCAAAGGCTAAATGTCAAAATAAATAACAAACGTGTACATTTCTTATCGAAACATTTATGAAAAAAAAATGTAACAGCTTTTGAATATAATGGGCATTTCAAATAAATAATGTACAAATAATGTATTTTAAGTTTTAATAGCAATAGTGTTTCGTTTTACCTATCGTGATGGTCACGTGGCCTGTGGTCTTTGACAGCATTTGAAACCTGATGAGTTGTTGAGCGCGGGTTCGATCCCTGGTGTCGGGGATAACTTATTTCAGACTTATTCACAGGGCATTGGAATTATTTTTGATAGACAATATTTATCTCGGCCAGCCCTCGGTAATTATCGCTTGTCCGCGTGTCGATTTCAGCTATTTGTTTGTGAAATAAAATAGAGATAAAAAAACCATAGATATTTTGCCACTGGTTTTTTTTAAGTGCATGGTGCAGTTTAAAGTTGAAAAAATGAATTTTAATTTATTATTAATATGATTTTATAAAAATTACATTCCAAAATCGAAAAATGTCCGAACAAAACGTATGTAATTGTTTTGTAATTCATTATTAGTATATTAGCCCGAATCAATTATTGTATTACAGATGCGGTTTTTTTTCAATTATGTAAAACTTACTGAAATTATTGATAGTATATAACATTATATATATATATATTCTTTGTAAATAGCATATGCAATTGAAATATTAGCATTTTACTTTGTCATATAAAAAAATCCTAATATTGAGATAAGGTAAAACAAAAATGAAATAAAATGTTCGTATCAACTTTTCAGAGCTGTGTTATTCTTCTAAATATAATGTGTTACAGAACAAAACTGTGATATCATTTTAAAATAAAACTTTCGCTGTCATGTTTTTAAACCTTTCCTACAAGTAGATGACTTTGAATTTGAAATACAGCGGCGACCTTATGTGTAATTAGGAGTAATGAATCGGGCCATTATTTCTACACGCTTTCAGGCAAGATACCGTATAACTTTGTCTCATTGTAAAGCAAGCGTCATGATAAATACAAAACAGAATTCAATGTCTAAAAAAGTATATCTGTCTTAATTATGACATATAATGTGTATTCCTTGTCGACCTGAGGCAGAATATTTCAAACATATAATAACATAACAGATTAATTAGTACACTCTGACTAGGTTTGTTACTTATTATAAAATGATCATTAAAATTATTACCGAATCATGTCATTATTATAAAATTCCATGAGGGGAAATTTTATTTTAAAACAAAGCCATTTAAAAAAAATACATTTTAATGTAAAATGTAATAAAATTATAGATAAATTGTTCTTCTCTGTTCTAATGAAATATGTAAGCAATACCAGCAGCAGTTTGGAGAAAGGTTAAATGATACACAATGGTGAATTGTTCATCGATTGGTGCTAAGGCAGACGAGTGGGCCTAACACAGGAGGCTTATAAAGCATACTTTAACACCAGATACATTATTGAAAGGGAAGAAACTCACCTATGTCAGATTGAGAATACATATAAAAACTGAACAAAAAACAATTCTGCGATCATTTCTGATTGCAAGAATAGAAAGAAAACCGTATAGACAGTAGGGACGGATACTGATTGGATATGTGAACCACGATCGATTGTATTATCCAATTATATAATGAAAGTGATGCCAGATTTTGTGGTTGACGTTGTTTGTGTCGTAAAGTTGTGTTAGAATCATCTTTAAAAAAATCGTTTGAAATAAGTCCTACTTTTTGTTCTTGTCTATTTAAGTATCGGATATTGTACAGCAGACCTCAACAAGATTCTATTTCTTCTCCTCTTTAAGGCGATGGTGGCATTGTACTCGGACTGAACACAGAACTATTGGCACTTTACACGAAGAACTTGGATGGGACAATTCCACTTTTGAAAAGACATTTAAGTACCATGTGAAAAAAGCTTTCATCGGACTCTCAGGTAATTTAATATTTCTCCCTGAAAAGTGCAACTGTTATTTTAAATCTGACTCATGTCGGTCAGAATGTTTCTGTGGTGAATGTGTGATATTCGTTACAAGGAATTTACGGCAAGTTTGTTACACTTTGCAAAGAGCAAAGGAAATATTTGGGATTTAAATATTTGAAAGAAAACTCAACTAAAACAACAAGTGTCAAGATGGTGTCGGTAGCATCAAATGTGAAAGGACGTTTGACAGACTTCATTCAGATGTTGAATGATAGAATAAATGACCCTATAGCACAGCGACGTCTTATACTTTTGATAGTATGTACGGCGCTGCTCTTAGATAACATGTTGTACATGGTGATCGTTCCAATCATACCTATGTACCTGGAGGACGTCCTTGACTGGGGAAATGATGACGACACAGTAGTCCAGGCTCCTTTCAATGCAACATGGAATTCCACGTATAACTTGACAATCCCACCACCGGCGTCCAAACCTGATTCCTCATCCTACACAGAATATGCCGAGGGAGGTGGAGCAGTCGGTGTTCTTTTTGCATCCAAGGCAATCGTTCAGCTAATGGTAAATCCGTTTACTGGTGCACTAATCGACAGAATAGGGTACGATGTTCCACTTATGATAGGTCTTATCATAATGTTTTTTTCTACAATAATTTTTGCATTTGGTGAAACATATGCCGTTCTCTTTTTCGCAAGAAGCTTGCAGGGAATGGGATCTGCTTTTGCAGATACGTCAGGCCTTGCTATGATTGCGGATAGGTATCGTGAGGATGCAGAACGAACAAAAGCTCTAGGAATAGCTCAATCTTTCATATCGTTTGGATGTTTAGTCGCCCCACCGTTTGGGGGTACTTTGTTTGAGTTTGCCGGGAAGGTCGTCCCTTTCATCTTCCTCGCCACTATGTGTTTAGTTGATGGAATACTCCTTCTTTTTGTCATGAAGCCTGTCCGATTAGAGAGGTCCCTTATACCAAAAGAAGAACGACCACAGGGAACTCCCATTTATAGACTCCTCATGGATCCCTATATCCTAGTGGCGGCTGGTGCCCTAGCTATGTCCAACATATCTCTAGCTTTTCTCGAGCCAACTATAGCCATGTGGATGAAAGGAACCATGAATGCGGACGAATGGCAAATAGGATTCGTTTGGTTACCGCCATTCTTGCCATATATAGGAGGTGTGGTCTTAACAGTGTACCTGGCCAGGAAATACCCTAGCTACCAATGGCTTGTTTCGTTAACGGGTCTTATTATTGAAGGAGTTTGTTGTTTTTTCATTCCATTTTCCAGTGCTTTCTTCGTGGTTTTGTTTCCGTTGATGGGCCTCTGCCTGGGAGTGGCGTTAGTGGACACTGCCATCCTCCCCACGCTAGCCTACCTTGTGGATGTTCGACACTCGTCCGTTTACGGGAGTGTCTATGCTATCGCCGATATATCGTATTCTCTAGCGTATGCTTTAGGACCTATCATGGCCGGTCAAATTGTACAGACCATTGGATTCATGTGGCTCAATGTTGCAATAATGCTCAGCAACCTCATGTATGCACCGGTGCTATTCTTTCTGAGAAGGGTCTACGAGTATAAACCTTTCACGGACGAATGTGACATCCTTGTTGCAGATCCCCCTCCGAAAGACTACAGCACATACATGCAAAATGGAGGACTGCCGAATGGAAAAATCAAGGAAGTGAACAATCTAAACGGCGAGAATCACTTGAGAGTGGGGAAACAATCCGAGAACACCTATATCGGCAATGCCGAAATTGACTATTTCGAACCGAAGGATGCTGAAACCTACTCTTTTTATGGTCCCAGGTGAAACGATGAACAAAAAGCTCTTTTAATAGAATTAGTTAGTATTTCAATGTGGTAACTTTAAAAACTAAACAATTAATTATTCCACTGGTAGCAGTTAGTGAATGTATAGAAACACCAGTGAGGGACATACAGTTGTTGTAGTGCAATACATTTGATACACTTAATCATCATTTTTTTACAAATTATATGTTAATATGTAAAGATATGATATGTTCTCGTATCTTGAATGAAAAATGCATACGAAGTTAAATGTAAAATTGTCCGTTAACATTTACTCAATTTCTAAACGATTATGGAGTAAAGCTAATACAGATTGACAGGATCTAAAAGCAGACTGAAACGTGTAAATGCACCCATAAAAAATACTTGAATATGTATGATCTTTGCTTTTGTAAAATGTTAAAAAACCTTTTTATGGAAGAATCAGTTTCTTCCAGGTATTTAAACAGACACACGGTATCCATGTGATGGGAACAGACAAATGTGATATAAGTAATAAGTAATTGATGTTATACTTAGCTGTTACGTGTCCGGTACTAATTGTCTAGTGCCTCTCTCTCTCGAACTTTATATATACCGTTAACTATACAGAACCTAGCTATAAACACTGTATCTATCTACTCCAATCCTCCGTAATCGTTCTGATGTAGGCTCAGTTATATTTGGTCTAACACAAAACAAATGTCATTATGTATGTAGTTATAAACGAATATGTTCGGTTTTCACTTGTTTGTTTCCTCGACGGTAATATATTTGTTTACGTCTGAAATGGTATATTTGTTTCTTTATATGAAATGCTTTGATATTTTTCTAGAAAAAAGGATTAAATTCCCATATCAAAATTTTCATTAATAATATCTTTCGTTCATTTAAAAACTGTTTTGATGCAGATATTAAAGTGATTAGTACAACTTCATTCGAAATTAGCTCTTCATAACAAGATAGGATCTTATGAAAAGAACATGCATATACTTTTGCTACAATTTGGTTACTCACTGCATGACCAATAAAATGAAAAACTTGACTACATGCTAGCCATATTACAATATACATGTATTAGTTGTACCTGTAATAATGATAAAAAAGTATAAACTACGTAAAGTATTGTTTTTGTAATAGATGTTATTCTACCAAAATAACGATTTCAAGTTTATTTCATTTGACAAAAATAGCTTGTACCTGAATCATGGTAAAGTTATGAAAAAACAAATTGTTATAAAATTATGTAATCAACAAATGTATTACAAATGAATCTACCTTTTCGATTTTTGCTATGTAAAAGAAAATTATATATTTGAATTCGCGATTGACAATTATTACAAAATACGCGCAAAAACTTGTATTTTCTATTTCAATATAAGGAACCGTCATGTTTTGAAATATGGGTCTACAAAAACCTTAAAGTTAGGAACAGGATTTCTTCATTAATACACATAATGGGAGATACTCTGTTCAATGTGTACTGTTAAAATTTTCTGTTCGTCATTTTACACCTGTTCACATAAATCAACTAGTTCAATCATTCTTTCTCATATTCTAAATTATTTGTAGCTTGTGACTATCTTTACCGAGTTGTCCCTTTTGCAAATGACTTGTTATGCAAATTTTCATATTGTTTGTCCAAACTGACAATATTATATAGGAACATTGGCGCGTTCAAGGATTTAGAAACTGTGATGAAAAGGGACGCATGAAATTTGTATGCATGAAAATTGTGACATAACGATATATCCTTAAAAATATACCATTCGCTTCTAGATGAAATGTAACATCGAATGTGTAGTTTTATATGGACACTGCCTGGTATTTGTTACCAAACTAGCAGGAATATATTTGTAGTAGAATATATCATGTAAAGTGAAAATAGATCGGATTTCAATATTTAGGATATGCCGATTTCGTTTTAAATGTCGCTGATATTTTCTTTTACAATATTTTTGAGTGTTTCATTTTGTGCATATTCAAATGTTCGAAGTTGGAAACACGGAAATAATTTAGTTTTCGTCAAATACACATATTCTTAATATAGCATGCTTGTTATTTTAAACAATTATAGGAATCCATTTTAACAACAGCTGTTAAACATGATATAAGTATGTCATAACAGCTATACAAATTAACTGTAACGCTAGTTGTCAAAATTAATCTTTATTACAGTATATTATTGTTGTCTGACAATTGAAAAAAGGATTTGCTTAACAGAATAACTGGATCAAGAAAAATATTAACATTTAAAGAGAACTACTGACATGTCCGTTTATTTTCACATAGAAATGACACATTTAATATTATATTTTGGTCGTTACAGATATATCAAATAAGATATCGCCAATAAGTGCTAATCGACTAACATCCTTTCCTAGAAAAAATGTCAAAAATAATATTGAGAATGAATCTATACTCTTTATTAATTTTATGTTTAAAACGAGTCGAGTTTGAAATATTACGTGAATGAATATCCTGATATATTTATATATAAATATTTGGCTAACAATTGTCAATTTCAAAGATATGTACTATTGCTATTGTCCCTTTAATCCACGGCCAAGGGTTTTTCGAAACTTTTTGATGATATAACGAAGGAGTTAAATATGTGTCAAATGCGATTCGTTTCTTTAAAATATTTCATCTGCTAGATATACTAACTTGTGTCACAAACCATGGAAATTATTCTAAGCTTAGTTATTTTTTTTGTTACATACTTATAAAACAATCAATAGCAATTTTCCCCAACAAAATTTATAAATAAAAGGAAACAGTATCCGGCAGTTTTTCTTTCTACTTTTATACGTGACATATGACAAATTTTACAACAATGACTTATTTTCTTGTGTAAATTTGTTTTTCTTTTAATGATTTTTTCAAGTTATAGCTTTTTGACATTGTCAATTATTGAGATAAAAATCAGGAATAACAAATTAATGATACCGATAAAAAATGATTGTTATGCAAATGTAATTATCAACGCAATACCAAAACATGTGAATTCGATTATGATGTAAGAGGAATGTAAAACAACGTTTGAATGAATAGATCGTATTGGTTCACAATCATTAACGAATACGCAGTGCCCATTCTCAAACTATCTTTTAATGTAAATATAAATATATATATATATATAAATTGTTAAAACTTTAATGTAGATAAAATAGAAACTGTTTATGTTGCATTAAAATATGTAAAAATGTAGATACACAGTTGCAAATACTTCAAAGGATATGATGTATATCTGTGTAAGTAGTGTATAAGCCACTGGTGTATATTTTAATTCGTCGATGATCCTTTTCATTAAATCGAATAATGATCAGAAATGTATATACATGTACAACGCGAGCAAAAGATTACTTATCTTCTTTCTTCCTTTATTTGCTAAAGTTGTAATACTTCTATACAGTGATAAAATATTTCCATGTTGAAGCGAAGATAATTCACGGGTCCAACTGTCGAAAGGAAACATCTGTCAAACAGTAATTGAAGGTATATTCATTATTTCATATCATTATTGTAACTTATATCTCTAAAAATAGACTTATTTTGTGGAAAATTAAATCATCAAACATTCCTGATTCATTCTTAATAATGCATCAATGTTTTGCACCCTTGTTTAAAATCCATTTCATATTGTATTAAAAATCTAGTTCAAAGAACTTTGTGTTGATAGTTCTGTGAACAATGAGATATGTATTACATTTATATTATGATATGCATGCAAACCTGTTTAAATGTTTTGTGTATATAACAAATTCAATCTGATATACAATATAAGTAAATTGTATTTACCATTTACGTCATTCATACAAATAGTATTTTACCGCCATTTGATGTATATTTATGTACATACATTTTACACAGTATATTTGTAAATTGGCTAAACTATGTACAGTGTAATGTTATTGGTATCAAATTGGTGTTGCTGTGATAGAAACTTTCCTAGTACCTTTATGTAGGTAGAAATAACGGATCTCAGAATTTATTATTCACATGTACTTAGTATAGATACAGCGTCTGGTACGGTTTCGTTTGTTGAGTTGTTAAACCGTCCTTCCCCCGTTTTAGAATGAAGAATATATTTGTTTGAGTTTATCCATGTTTGTACGTTGATTTAATAAATCTCATCGCTTGATTAACTCGTAAATAGTTTTATTTCTAAAATGAATACTTATATACGCTTGACGACCTTTGATCTATTTTCTACCTTAATGCTACTTTAATAGTTCTAAGTTTGGCCTTGTTTATTGACGCTGTGTTATTGTGCTTGACGTTTCTAGATCCCAATCATAAAAAATCTCAAATAATTTAATTATTTGTGTCAGATTTAAAATAAAAATAATTATAAATATATACTGATATCAAATCGATCTACTTCTTTGGTTAATGAGAAATGCATATAATATTAGGCTATGCGTTGATGCCACAGAAGCTAAAGCATTGTAAAAATCAAACGGATCTATTTTCTGAAGTAAGTCTGACATGATTTATTGCAAAGACTTCGATTTCTCCAGAACAAAACAAAGCAGGACCGTTCGACTCATTTAAAATATGAGTTATAGATTACTTGAGAAGTCTACTGATATGTTTGGAAATTATCAAGAGGAGTCCGTTGTTACAGTATCCTGTAATTGTTCGTGAAAACGAGCATAGGCGTAGGACAAAGGAAAAGCAGACGTCGATATACTCCGAGTCGACAAACATGAAAGTGCGCATAAGACATCTTACATCTCATTGTACAACGTTTTAATTCAATAATGATTCTATCTTTATGTTTCTTCAAAACACAGGCCTTAAATGGCCTTTATCTTCCTATAAGATAGCCAGCATGTTAGAGCAGAACAAACGCACTGGCAATCACTATGATGCTATTTAAACCGATGATGCATTCCCAGGAGTTTTTAGCTGTTATTTGTGTTTCCCGTGACTGATGCATTTTGTGTGATTTTCATCAATGATACAATAGCACAACCAAGCTAAAGTGCTCTCACAAGTAAACGAAATGGCTACATTCCATGTCTCGGGAACGATAATGAAATATTCTTTTTCCTCTTGTGTATTATCCAGGATAAGCCCAACAACTTGATTAATAAATGACAAACATATACAAATGTACCAGATAAATGCGCCAGAATTAAGTGGTGCTACTATCAGATTGTACATGTACCACGTTTATACGGCATTACATCATATTTCGGTAATAATCAATATGTACGGATCCGAATCATATGACATGTGTGATGGTTACATCCAGATCTATTGCGCGTATCACAAGATTATACTCTACACAGATGTCATGCGCTAAAAGCATGATGATGGTAAATTACGACTCCCTTGTGTTTATTTTACTGAGAATTTTCGCAAACTACTACGGAAGTTGCTATGTTTACCATCATACATGTATATTTAAAAGCGAATTGATAGTTATACGAAAATCTCCTTTGCTTTACTTTATGGATAAAAACTGTTAAATTCAAAAATGATAAGTCGGAGTTACCATGATGTTTGAAGACTGTATTTCACAAAATATCTGATCATTGTATTATCCTTAATTTTTCGATAGTACTTTCATGAATATTGTCCGAGTATCAATATATATATTTACTTATCTGAAAAAAGTATGTTTTTATTCTATATTTTCCTTCGCAAGGACTTATCAATTTATTATCTACTATTTACTAATATATCGTTATAATGTGTATTTGCATTTTCTAGTCAGTGTAAGTTTTCATTAGGTATTGATATCACCTTTAATTTGTTTACTTCTC